GCAAAAGCTTCATCCGCAATCTCCGTCACTGAGTCCGGGATGGTCACACTTGCCAACGAGCTGCATCCTGCAAAGGCTTGAAAACCAATCTCCGTCACTGAGTCCGGGATGGTCACACTTGCCAACGAGCTGCAGTTTACGAAGGTTTCCTCATCAATCCGGGTCGCGGAGTCCGGGATGGTCACACTTGCCAACGAGCTGCATTCTGCAAAGGCTGCAATCCCAATCTCGGTCACTGAGTTGGGAATGGTCACACTAGCCAACGAGCTGCATTCGTCAAAGGCACCAGAGCCAATCTCGGCCACGGAGTCCGGGATGGTCACACTTGCCAACAAGCTGCATCCTGCAAAGGCACCATCCCCAATCTCGGTCACTGAGTTGGGAATGGTCACACTAGCCAATGAGCTGCAGTCTTGAAAGGCAAACTGCTCAATCTGGGTCACTGAGTGGGGAATTGTCACGCTTGCCAACGAGCTGCATCCTGCAAAGGCTGCAAGCCCAATCTCGGTCACTGAGTCGGGGATGGTCACACTTGCCAAAGTCTTGCATCCCTTAAATGTTTCTGGAACGATTTCAGTTGCACCGCTTGGGATTTGAACTACGAAAAAAAATTTCAAGTCAATCTCATCGCCAAACTGGGCAAGCTCACCTTTGTGGGAGCACGTCACAGTGTTGCGTCTCAGAATTACGGTCACATCCGATTCTGGACAAAGGCCTGCATCTGCAGCTGTCTCGTCGTTCGTCAGCACTCTGCTCGGCCCCACGACAATGTCCACCCTGGTGGTTTTACGCGTGAATTCGTCATCCCAAGGCTGGCACCCCTTGATCCACTCCTTGAGTTCCCGACCAGTGTCGTCTGGCATGACTTCGAGAACCATCGCTTCACCGTTCAGCTGCCGAAATGGAACGTTCATCGCCATCAATCTGTCTATGAATCAAACAAATTCACCCCAACGAGGATTTGGGATACATCTATACTCCATGAAGGATCGAGCCAAAACCGCTTCAGCTGCCTCAGGTGATGAAGCATGACGACGTGGCGAGGGGGCTGTTCCTGGTCTCCTGACATGGCCGATATAGGCAACCCATAAGATTTTCTCTCTGTCTGTCTTTTCCTCTGGGCGTGAGCAACAGGTGAACTTTGTCAGATATGTGACATGCGTCACCGTTCAAACACTTCTCAACACCTTGTCTCCCTTTCGTGCCCTCCAAAGCACGGTGTTCTCCACTTGAAAAGATCCATATGGCAGGATCGAGCATCATCTATTGACCTCCAGTCTCAGCCTATGTGGCAAGGCTGTTTTCTGTGATGCTTTGGGAGATGCAAGGTGACAAGCAAAAAGCAAAAGAAAGTTCATGCTTCTCGCGGTGGGTGTGGCGGGCCACCTTGAGAACAAAAAGGTCAAACACGACCCAAGTTCATCGACCGACATCGAGAAAATCGTTCCACGAACATCCATTCTCTCTGTCTGTCTTTTCCTCTGGGCGTGAGCAACAGGTGAACTTTGTCAGATATGTGACACGCGTCACCGTTCAAACACTTCTCAACACCTTGTCTCCCTTTCGTGCCCTCCAAAGCACGGTGTTCTCCACGTGAAAAGATCCATATGGCAGGATCGAGCATCATCTATTGACCTCCAGTCTCAGCCTATGTGGCAAGGCTGTTTCCTGTGATGCTTTGGGAGATGCAAGGTGGCAAGCAAAAAGCAAAAGAAAGTTCATGCTTCCACGCCACCCTGGTTTTTCAAACCAGCTTGTCCACTAGGACGACTCAAATCCAAGTTTCTTGTGGTAGAAACGTAACAAGGCACGGACTTTTCGAGGGTATTTCAAACGCGCCCACTCTGCCATGCCATCTGAGATGTAGAGGTGAGCTGAACTGGAATTCTTCCAGCGTCCTCTGATGAGGATCAAGTCCATTGGGGTCTGATCTCTGTACAGGGCCGTAGCCCCACCCCGTCTCAAGCTGTATGGTCGATAGCCATACCCATCAAGGCAGAAAAAGGAGGTGAGAGAACCAAACCTTTCACGAAAAAGCTGTGCTGTATATGGCCAAATCAAGTGCTTACCTTTGGAAAGCAGTTGCAAGGTGCGAAGCAAGTGACACACTCTAGTGTCGCGGACAACCACAGTTTCACCTGGTCCTCCTCTCTGAGCCGTCTTCGACTCAGGGAGATGAATCAACAGCACTTGGGCAGAGTAGGTGATGTCCTGAAACCTCATTTGAAGCAATTCGCCGGTCCGCAGAAGGCCGAAGTAGCCTGCTGCAAGAACAAAGCTCATTTCTAGCCATTGAAGATCGATGGCGCGACTGATCATAGCCCACAGGAGTTCTTCTCCCATGGGCGTGGCTTGCCAAGAACGTTCATTCTTACGCCACAGGCCGAACAGGTGCCAGCTATACGACAAGTGCTTTCGAAGAAAAGGCAAAAAGGTTTGCAGTCCACTGATCAAATCACCAGCTAGTGAAACTGATTCGCCAGATTCATACAGGTATTCCAAGTAGTCTCCCAGCTCCAGGTCAAAACTGACCAGATCAGTATAGTCTGCATTTGTGAAGTCCCACTCCTCAAGAGCTTTGTGGACTGCTTCTCTGTACCTTCTCAGAGTTGACTCTTTGAGCCCAATTTCATGCAAACTGTTGCCACTTCTAGCCTTCTTACGTTCTTCCTTAGTTTGTTGTCGGCGAACTCTGCTCCTCATCTTCTGGATGCGGCATCGGTGGGATTATGGATTGAGTCCACGTGGATCCCCAAGAAATAAAAGTTGCACGCTAAAGCCATGCTATTGATTTTTCGGCAAATATGAGCAAGCGCTTTGCTAGAAGTCCTCCCCTTAGCTAATATAGAAAGGCAAACAGCTGAGTCGCTCAAAGGCAGTAGGCGGAGGTTGAAACAACCATGATGATGAAGTCGCCACTGTAATGACAATAGTATCGCTCTCATTTCAAGGGCATTAATGTGTTCTTTGACGTCCCATTGTTTACGCCAACAGATTTTCCACTGCCAGAATTCTGCGGGGATGCTCTGCCTGGGAAACAATCGGGGGTTTGTTGGCGTGCCTAGGCTCACCTTGATGTCGCTCCCATTATGGGAGACTCTTCGAGCCAACTGTCTGACCAGCATCTCTTCTGCATCCTCAAGTATTGCTGTCTCATGCTCTGTGCTCCCAAAAGGAAATTCGGTGCCGATGGGTGCGACTCGATCAACATGAGCACATGCCCCCGGGAAAAGCCCTAACCGCTGCAAGTAGTGTTCAGGCTTCCTCCTACTAACCCACTTGTCTACTGAGCTCGAAGCAAACAACCAAAAAGTGTTGACGGGGAATGCATCGCCTAGCAAGCTGAGCCGCTCGTCAGAATATCCTCGGGGGCTGCTCTTGATGGAGGAGGCGTTCCAAGCGTGCTCTGTGTGTCCAGATCCGTATCCCATCAATCTCTCACGCTCTGCGACACTCAAATACCTGGTCTCTCCTGAAGCCTTCTGAGTCATCATATACATGTCTTTATATTGGTATGGTGGGAACCGAAAAGCATCTTGACGCCACCTTAGTAACTCATGAGGCAAACATCTTGCGAATCCTACCGGCCTTGGTGGGGGTTGCCATCGTGGGATCGCACGCATACATGTGGGGAAGGTCACGTTCTCGTCAAGCGGTGTCCAGCCGGGGGGTCTGTCCAGTCGAGGCCTGAAAGTCGATCACAACCGAAGTGAACTTGCCAGAACCCTTCTTTCCACTCTGTCCAAACTTTGTCATCTTCTCTCACGATGAGGTTCGTCCAAACAAACCGGGGTCGGTTCAAACAAACGACATGTTCACTATCAACCCTATACGGAAAAAGGCCGAGCTCTTCGGAGATCTTGTCCCTGGCACCAACGTCCATGGAACACACATTTTCGGCAAACAAGGTGACGTCAAGCTCCGGAGTAAACTCCTGCAGTTCCTGCCAGATTCGCTTCAGGTGATAAAAGAGCGAGCTATGCTGACCTTCAAGGTTCAACCGTCCCGCCTTGGCTGCACTAAGGTCTTTACACGGGAATCCTCCCCACAGGTGCACCGCTTCAATAGGACCAGCTTGGCCAATCCATTCACGTAGCAGGCTTTTGGAGACTGCTTTCACGTCGTCAAATTGGACTGCCTCAGGCCAGCGACGACTCAAGATGCGTTCAGCAGGGCGGTGGATTTCTATACTGACGTACAAGGCGGGCTTCACACCTGCAACGTTGTAGCTTCTCATCGCCCCACCAATGCCATCAAACAGCGATATCACCAGCACAGGCACTTTGGTCCCTTGGCATTCCTCATGAAGCTCTTGAACCAAGAAGTCTCTTCCTTTCTCGGTGACCTTCTCAGCCATGCCTACTGCGCCTGCGACACTGGAAGCATCGCTGGCGGTAACCAGTCCGGATGGTGCTGCCTGCAAATCACTATGCATCAACAAGGTCCCCAAAGTCATGGAGAGTAGTTCCCATCTGGCTTTCCACTCTTTCTTCTTTTGTGCCACCTGCAAGAACTCCCAAATTCCTGAGAAGTGGCTCATTGCTGGCCTACGAAACTGAAGAATGTGCATCCACCTTCCAGCCACTATCTGCAAACTTTTATGCTGCAGGTTGCTGCGACTACAAAGCCATAGGCTCAACTTCATGGTCTTTTCTAGTCGTTCAGAGCTCGCACCAATCCACCCTCGTTCACCTTGAACATACGCGCCCAGTTCGGTCGCAACCAAGGCTCTGTGAACACTCTTCTGAGGGGCGGTGATTACCCCCCTCTCATTCCAGCCCTCTTCGGCTCGTTGGTGAAGAGCTCCTCCCCATGTCTCCTCGAGATCAGAGCGCACTCTCTGTCCCGAGGCATAGTTATCTAGGTATATGTGCCAGAATGGTGAGGATTGAGCTTCATCGGCTCGAAGTCTCTGCGCAAAGCCTGCAGGCAGGAGTTGAACTCTGTTGATCGATTGGGCCTCCGGCAATCCGATGTCCTTCAGCAAGTTTTCGGCTGCCTCTTCCATGATGCCAACTGCAGAACTCCATCCCATCGGCAGCACTCGGGCACAGAGGGTGTACTTGGTGCTCTCTTCAAAGCCTTCTCCTAAATGAGCCCCCATGCAATCAATGTTAAACGCCAGCCTCCTATGCCAAGCCTGTGGAAGTTCAAACAAATAAAAAGCTGAGGTAATATCTGCCTGACTCAACTCCACTCGCTCTCCCGGGCCCAAAAAGATCGAAGTCCACTGTGTTATCGTCGGCAGTCCATGAACGGCGCCCCCGTATGACATTGTGGATGCTGTTGCTAGGGATCAGGTTCATGATGACTCTCAGGGTCTCAACTCCGTTTATGGCCTTTCCTGGTTTCACCACTCCAAACATACCGTTCTTCACATAAGAATTACGGAATCTATGGATCTCAGCCTCAGGGTACCAAGCACAAATTCCCCTCTCTACTAACAGCCTAGCAACCTCCAACTGCTGACCCTCTTGGATGTGTACCCGGCCAACGAGTCGTGGGATGACTTGACCACTGTCCTCAATCTCGCTGAGGGAAGGTTCTTCCAAGAGTCGCTTTGTGCTGGGGCTCACCCAGTCGATCAAGCGCACTGAACCCCCCCGTCCAACCGGGGGCAAAGAAGGGAGAATTTGGGCCTTACTCAACTTCTCAACTTTTCCTACCTCTTCTCCTGCATAGCCTATGTCTCGCTTTGCAAAGTCCTCCTTAATATGTTCCGGGGTCCAAACGAGGCCAGGCTTCCACTCATCAAGGATCTCTTTCACTCTCTTTGCCACACTCCCTAAAGCGGGGACCAATGCACCTTCTTAGCTGCTCCTAGACCAAACCCAGGGTGACCTCCGTGCAAAAGCTGGCAAAACTTAACAGATGCAAGAACCCAACCATCAACATAGTCATCCATGCTCCAAAAGCTCTCCATGAAAACATCTTCAAGCAAAGCACCCCTAAGTTTTACAGCTAGCCGATGCCACACATGGGGAAAAGGGTACAGGCTCCGATCGCCTAGCTGCTGCCCACGCACGACCCGTTCACTCAAAGCTGCAACTTTTCCCCATAACCACGAGTGGCTGAGTTGGCTCTGTCTTCCTTCGAAGATCATCCAGCTCATAGCCAGACCAAAGTTCAGCAGGCTGCCACGTCGGCATAGAAGATCAGCAACCTTCTCACCTCTGGCTCCTCCGTCAAGCAGCCTCACCTCTTCGGCTGCTCTCATGCCTTCTTCCTCACCTGACTCCTTTCCTCTGCTGCACATCTCATCCTCTGGCCTTCTGCTCTCACCTTCTTCTGCACTCTGCCTCTTCTCCTTGCTCTCCTCACCTGTGCCTTCTGTTATAGTTTCATTTTTCGCACGCACACCCGTGCGCTCCTCTCGAGTCTCGGGCTCTGTGCGTTGAATTCTAGTTGTCACATAGTCTGTCCCTTCATCCTCCTGCTGCGAAGCATGTAACTCTGTAGGCTGCACTGCACTGAGAATGGGGCCGTGTGACATAGTGGAGCTCATTGACTCCCTCCTCTGAATTCTCCTCTTGCACTGCTCCTCCCTCACTCCTCGCCTTTGTCGTTCTCCGTCTCGCCCTTCCTTTGCCTTCGTCCTTGGAACTTCCGCCAGAACCCCAACCTCGGCCTCCTGCAGGGTACCTCCACTTTCCTTTTCCTTCGAACCCCTGGGCCTTCGAGATCAAGTTGTTGTGTCTCCTGGCGGCCAACTGAAGTTCGGCTGGCGCTATAGCCTGTTCCGAAGGCACTGCCACCTCCAGGTGACGTGCCACCTGCCACCCGTCGTGGGTTGCCGCCTCCACCGCAATGAAGCGACCGGCCAATGCGTCCAGCGCCTCTAGGAGCTGGCCACCTCTGATCCTGTCGATCACTGAGGCAAGCAGGAAGAGTTCCCTCAGTGCTGGATGGCCATTGGTGTAGCGGTGCTTCAAAGTGATCTGCCAATATGTCCCCACCTTCGGGCCACTCGTCAGAAGGTCCTCGTGTGGGGTCGACAAATCCTGCAACTGCTCTGCAATCTGTTCCAAGAGGAGCGAAATGACACTCCCCTTTTTCTTCTGACTGCGTCTCTTCAATGGTGCCTGCAGTCGACGCGCCTTCTTCTCCTCGCTGCTCTCCTCGTCCGTGGAATAGCTGCTGCTCTCCTCGTCCTCGTCCTCCTCGTCTGATGAGCCACCCGAGCTGTCTCCATCCTCTGAAGGGTCCCCGTCGCTCTTCTCTTTCCTCTTCCTCTTCTTTTTCTTTTCTTTCTTCCCCTTCTTGGGCCTCAAAGCGAGCTTTAAAGCCTGAAGGACTCGCTCGGCGCCTCGTTTCTTTTTCTTCTTCTTCTTCTTCTCGCCTCCTCCTCCGCTGCTGGCTGCGGCTTGGCTGGCTGCTGCAATCAATGCCTTGCTGGGCGAACCCGTCCTCTTGCTGCTCGATGTACCTTCTCTTGGCTCCTCCAATCCAGCCTTCAACAACTCCTGAACCTCCGTGGCCGGTTTCTCGACCCCAAATGTCAGGTTCTTCGGACCATCTCTCTTCTTGGCGGCCACTGCAAGTGATGAAGCGGCGGCTTTCCTGGACCCTTTGGAGCCAGCTGCAACCTCCTCCTCTTGGCCAGGCCCTCTCATGCTCTCCTTCAACTTCTGTCGAAGATCGCTCAAAGCCTCTGCAACTCGACCTCGGCCTTTGACCTCTTCTCCTCCTTCTGCATCCTCTGCCACGCGCCTCACCTTCTTCCTCTGATCTCCTCCTCGTTGCTCGTCGTCCTCGTCGCCCCCTTCTCCAACGATGACGGCTCTTCTGGCATGACCTGAGGCGTCGGGATCTCGGCCGGAACGAAGGGCACTGGGTCGTCCTCCAACCTTCTCTACCAATGCAACCTCCTCTTCGGCCACATTCTCGCCCGCCTACGATCACACCTAAAACTTCTTGACACAACGAAGCCCACCTTTTGTAGCCTGTCGAACCTAATGAACTGGCAGGTAGGTCCGGCCCATGGATGACCTCCAACCTCTGTGCATGGAAGAGGTAACTCCCACCTGCCATACAAGGTATGTCTTGACAGATGTGACCGTGGGTCAGGTGTTTGTTCATGGATGTCAAAGCCCTCGATTCTTTGGAGTTCGTAGTCCCGAGCGAAACGACTTCCACCGATAAGCTGCCGTCTGGAAGCACGGAGTGGGCCTTCACGAAGTAGGGGCAATCGACAACCTTCTTTCCTATCTCTGTCGGACATATGATGACCCGGCCAGGAAACACCCCCATCATGAGCCATCGATCGCGGTCACTGATGTCGAACGATCCGGCCGACTCGTCAACCCTTCTAGCCCCTTCTCCTTCGCTTGCCATCTCTCTCACGGTCCTCGCGCTCACGTCTTCTCTCACGCCGCGGCCTCTCCACGGCTGCACCTCCTCTCCCCTCTTCTCCGGCAGCCTCTCTCCTCACCTCGTCGCTGTCTCGCCGCGTCTCGCCACTTGCTCGAGAGTGGACGGTACCTGAGTCAGCGGAAGCCCTTGCAACGCTGCTTGGAGGTTGTGGGCAGGTCTTCAACCCCAGATTGGATCGAGTATCCTCACTTTGGAAGTGGGAGGAATCTCGAAGCACCTCCAGTCCTCTCAAAGCTGATTCTAGCCAGCTTATTGCTATCCTCGCTTCAAGCTTCGAATGTGGTTGAAATCGAAGCTCCTGCCCCAACTTCCTCAGCAAATTGCAGCCCTTGCAGCTGCCACCTTCTTCTAAAAACCAAACCCTCGAGCACGTGGCGCACGCTGTCGGCATGTGAGCGCGCGCTCGCGCTTGAGAACAAAAAGGTCAAACACGACCCAAGTTCATCGACCGACATCGAGAAAATCGTTCCACGAACATCCATCCTGGAAACTGACCTTGGGATAATAGTCTCTTCAAGTGTGCTCTTGCTTCCTTACGTGGAAAAAGACTCCCTCTCCACCGCGCCGGCCTCACAGCTCCCAGATCCGTGGATCCCTGGAGGCGAGCATCGGTGCAACACGAGGATCCGCTCCACGAAAAGCGGCTTCAGCGTGACAAACCGACACCATCTGACCATCTGAGGAAATTCCGAAACCTTTTCCCGGAGTTTCGGGGTTCCACCGAAACCTTTTCGGGGCTCGGGGACCCCCCCGGATTGGTGATGTGTGTGTCAGACGACGATCGGCGGCGAGAACGCGCCGGACGGCGAGCACGGCGTCGCCGTGACCAGCTTCTTGGGTCAAGAAGAGACGAATTGGGTCAAGCCACAAACCATTCCAAGAAAACATCTCTCTGGCACCCTTAGTTCCAGGTTTCAGCTCTGATTGTGGGGTTCCAGGTGTTCTTTGGATGTCATGATGTCCTCAAAAAGTGAACAAGAACCTGACAAAAAGAGGTGACTCACTTGACACAAGTCGACACTTAAAGTGAAGCTCAGAACTTGTTTTGTCTAACTCACTTGAAAAATCCACCTCAACCTCCAAGTCATGACCACCGCCTACCACCACCTACCAGACCGGGATCGCGTGAGTCATTGAACCCTACGAACCGCCGAAGTCGCGTCGCTTTGCATCGTATGAGTGGCTGAGCTCGCCTTGTCGGCTTCAGTGTCTTCAGACCTGGAAATCCGCTGTCAGCCTATTGCAACCCCTAACCAAGCTATTATACTTACCATCAAAAACTATAAAGCCGATTGGGACATGTCAAGATCTATATATATATATATATACTTCCAAGCTATTGACCACCAAAACAAGATGGCTTCTTGCTGTGATGGCCCCGCCCCCCCCGAGTCGCTCTCCTTGCCGAGTCGCTGCGAACTGCCGCGGAGAATCCTCGCAGTGGCCTGTTGAGGCGAACTGGAAGGTGAGTCGAAGGGTGGGAACAGCCGATTCGGACATGTGAAGAACTACATATGATACTTCTCAGTCGGTCCGTGAAGGGGGAAGCTCCAGCGACCTATTTCCCACTGTTCAGAATGTGACACTTCGCCTGCCTCACTTCGAGTGAGGGACCTATAAGTGTCCTATGGTTTGGTCTGTCGACGAGATCGGCCACTGTCTTTGGCAGAGTTTGGCCCTTCGAGTGAAAGGTGAAACAGAAGGTTGGACAGAAGGTGAAATGCTCCAACTTGCGTCAAAGGTCGACCAATCATGAAGGCACTTCGTTCTTTGTCATGATTTGCAGCAAGTTTGCTTCACTAAGGCTCTCAGCGACGGCGGCCACGGCTGCGATGTGAAGATCGCCACCGTTGTTTCGGACACACCCAGCCATTCTGAAACCACCAGTACTCGCACTCTTGACATTCACATTCTTTTGCCAGAACAGCCTGAATCCGTTTGCAGCCAGTGTCTTTTGATTCCTTTGCCAGAACCCGAACCCGTTTGCAGAAACTGAAGGTCTCACACCCCGTCCAGGTTCGAGAATTTGAAAGAAGCACAGTCAAAGCATGGCAGCCAAAAAAGGCCTCGCCCTCAATATGAGTCACCGAGTCGGGGATGGTCACACTTGTTAAAGAAGTGCATCCTGCAAAGGCTCTAAAGTCAATCGCGGAGACTGAGTCGGGGATTGGCACTGTTTCCAACGACGTGCACCCATCAAACGCAAACTGACATATCTTGGTCACTGAGTCGGGGATGATCACACTTGCTAGAGTTCTGCAATCCTCAAATGCGTGGCCAACAACTTCAGTTGCACCGCTTGGGATTTGAACTGCGAATAAAGACGTGAAGTCAATCTCATCGCCAAACTGGACAAGCTCCCTTTTGTGGGAGCACGTCACAATGTTGCGTCTCAGAATGACGGTCACATCTGATTCTGGAGAAAGGCCTGCATCTGCAGCTGTCTCGTCGTTCGTCAGCAATCTGCTCGGCCCCACGAGAATGTCCACCCGGGTCGTCTTACGCGTGAGTTCATCATCCCAAAGCTGGCGGTCCTTGATCCGCTCCTTGAGTTCCCGACCAGTCATTTCTGGCATGACTTCAAGAACCATCGCTTCGCCATTCAGCTGTCGAAAGGACACCTCCATGGCTGCACTTGATCCTCAAGCACTTCAATGGCCGCGTCAATCAGCTTCAAGGCTTCCAGAATCTACTCCACTGGATATGAAAAAGAAGTCCGTCCGCAAAAACATCAAAAACGTCCCCAGCACCAGATCAGAAAGCTACGGCGAAGAAGAAACAGGCCCAAAAAGAAAAATCAACCAATTCGGTTGTTCTTTTTTGTGTGTGGTTCTTTGGGTGTTTACTTCCTGTTTCCTTCGGCCGGATGAAAGGATCCACACACCCCGCAGAGGCTTCTGGGGCGTCGAGCGATAGACATCGACCGTTGAAACGGTGTCGGAAAAGAACCGTTGAACCTGAAGCTGTTGAAACCTTGAAGCTGTCGGCTTCTAAGCTAAGCTGTCAAACCTGAAAAGCTGCGGATGTCACGTCAAACATCAAAGCTAAAGTCACGTGCGGCATAACGTCCTTCCCCCGGAAGCTGCTGTGCGACCATGGCGGTGGCATGCGGTGGCATGCGGCCGCGTGGTCGACGCGAACAGCTCAGCAGCTCAGCTCTGGCGTGTGGCGACGGCTCCCCAACGGCTCCGTGTCCCTTTCAGCTCCAAAAATCGCACCTATCGATCGATCCACCACAGATGGGATCCACTGCTCCCAAAGGTGTCCTTTCAGGCTTGGTATATATTGGGTCGCCCACATCATCCCTACCAAAACCAGAAACCTCGGTATGCGGATCCATATAGGGACAGTCCTTAGTCGGTCTGCACAAACCATCTTAGCAACATCCCTACGCATCTACTTCGTTTCAGAAACACATTATCCGCCGACCCCTGCTTTGGCGAAGGCAGGGGCGGCGCCTGGGACCACCGAAGGTGTGGAACTTGCTTTTCTGGGCCCGAAAGAAAAGTTCGCACTTGCTAGACTGTGGGCTCTGTGCCAGACTGTGGGCCATACTGGCCGTTGGAGCAGCCAGCTTCTGGATTCTGGACGCTTC